GCCTGACAAATGATGTTTGACCGCGACGTTTGAGCTGGGAATGAGAGCGGGCTGCACACCCTGCTTATTGGCCGGGGGTTACATCTCTTTGCTGTCGCCCATAAACGTCCCGAACACAGCTAAATAAGAGAAGAGAAAATGCAGGCAGAGGGATACAGACGCCACCACACACCTGGTGAGAGGGATTACTATGGAAGCCCATTCCCGGCACCAAAAAATAAATTAAAAAAAAGATTATTAAAGTTTTTTTTGTGTCTCTTTGGGGGGGGGGGTAAAAAAATAAATAAAGTGCTTGTCCTCACAGGTCCCTTCATCCCCTCGCCAGTCTTACCATGAAAACGACATGCAATTCTACACAAGGTAACTATTACTGGTGACTTTTGTAAATGTTAGATGTTATATATCATTATAAAGTCTTTTAATCAGTCCACTGTTGCAGCTTTACAAAAGTCACCAGTAATAGTTACCTATTAGAAAAAAAACAATTCAATTTTTCCAGAGTGCCAGTTGTGTTATGTATTTGCACTAGTACAGGGAGATGAGATGCTCAGCTATTTGAAAAAAATGTATAACATACATTTGACAGCACAACAGCTTGTGACCGCTGAAAACGGCTTTGAGTGTCACTTTGACAGTAGTTTAAGAAGCAGCTATAAGGCTATATAGACATGGGGCAACAAAAACTTCAGCCCATAACTTAAATCTAATTTACACAGGCCTGTATTTCTGATGGCATTTACAATAAACAATTCAGGACATGGATGTATACAATGGTAGGCCTAGCTGACACTACTGTTTCTCATAGCACAAACTTCATTCCCCCAGCCCATCAGTAATCATTTGACGAAGTCTTAGATAAAGGTCTGTAATTTCATACACATCAGACATTGCCAGGTTGTGCTCTGCCATAAGTTCCACACACAGGTGAAACACGTCCTCATCACAAGGATAGTCCTCTCGGCATATTTCTATTTTCCTTTCCTCAGCTGGCTGCAAGAAATGACAAGTGACCTGTGAGGACATAGTCACTGAAGCGCATGCGCACTTCTAGTCTCTCTTTTTTTTTTTTTTTTTGCCAGAAAAAAATTAATCCTGAAACCCCCCCAAAAAATAAAAAAAACTTTAATAATTTTTTTAATTTTTTTTTTAATTACCTTTTTTTTGGTGGCGGGAATGGGCTTCTATATCTTACCATTTTAGAAGTATGTACCTTTTTTTTGGGAAATTGTTGCATATTATACCTTTTAATATTAATAGTAGAAAAAATTCCTCTGTGACAGTTGTACATTATATCATTAGATTATTATCACTCATGCATTTACATAAAAGCAGGATTTCTGTTGTAGTTGGTTGAGGTGGAGCTCAGTTTGATCTACTAACTAAGGATTATTTTCATCATGGATTAATCTGCTGAATATTTTCTATTAATGGAGTGATTGTTTAGTTTGTAAAAATAGTGAAACTTGCCGTCACAATGACTCCGAATTCTGTCCAACCAACAGTCCAAACCTCAACATTATTACTTATACATTACATTTAATACAAGGAAAAGTAGCAAAACTTCACATTTGTGAAGCTGAAGCTATCAAATGTTTTTACATAAAAAAAGACTTAAAACATCAAAATAGTTTCATTCATTTTCTGCGAGTTGACTGAGTAATGGACTAATTTTAGCTGTACTTGTATAATCTGTTGGTTTATTTCAATCATTACATTTTATAAACTTTCATACTTTTTGTGTGTAAAAAATCTTAAATTTGTAAAATATCTAAAGTTGTCTGGTTAATGTAATGGAGTAAAAAGATCAATATTTCCCTCGGAGATTTTGTCTAGAGGTAGAAAATAACTAAAAAAGTAAAAGTAACTCAAATGTGTACCTAATTACAGTATTGGAGTAGATGTACAGTGTTACATTCCACCACTGCTCATGTCTGCCTCTCTGTTTCTTCTGTGGCTGATAGGTGTATCGAAATTGTGGCTGCTGCTGCTGCCGCTCCTCGTACTCGTCATAATCCTCTTGGTGGCTGCTTGGAAATATGGAAAAAAAATAAAATATAGAAACGATCTAAAGTAAGAAGGAAAGTACTGCATGCATAGTGTGAAACAAAGCAGTTGGTATTAAACATCATCCTCCTTACATGATCGTATCCCTGCTTTTGTCTTCATGACCACATGAAACTGAATGAATTGTTGGTTAACCTCTAACCTCTCCTGTGTTCACAGCGGGCGGCATGCAACGGACTCCAGAGAAGAGAATCCCAACACTGAATCTCAAGTGTAGACATTTAACTCTCCACTTTTTCTGAATACTTCAACCAGAATTGTATCTAAATTTAAATTATCTAAAATTTTAAATTAACTGGTATTTATATGTAATTTTTAAATTAAAATGTGATAATTTTAAGCTTTTGATCATTGCATTATTATAACTTTGAAATGTCCATCCAATAATGAAAAATCAGGCAAGTCAATCAAATACACCATGTCTAGTTAAATTTGTTACATGAAAATAAATCACAGACATTAAAGTTTACATTTTTTTTCATATGAGGTAATTGGTCATCACATTTGACAAGCAAGCAAAGCAGTCTAAAACAGGAGTCTGAAACTCATGCATCACTTTATTTTACCTGTACAAACAAACTGAGTATTGTTTTGAGTAAACGCACAAGGGACTGAAGGTGAAAAGTTTTGTATCATGGTTTCAGTTTCCTCACGTTTACTATAACAGTGTCCAACCTGCTTCTCTGGAACTCTCAAATCCCCCGTAAACCACCCACGGACCTCTCTTTATCGTTAACGTATCCTTAGTCACCTTTTACTGGTATCAGTATTTGAGATAAGTTGACTCGAGACCCTTGTTGGGAAAGCCATGGAAAGGTGATAAAGACTCCACATTTGTTCATTATTCACAATGGAAACTGACTCACACATGAAGTAGAACCAGGGGCGGACTTTACCACGAAGCAGAGTCAAACTGCCTGCTACCAGCCATTTGTTGTCCAATTTCACAATGTTTCCTGGCGGAAAAAAAAAAAAAAAAAAACACTCTTTAAATTACCTGCTACAATATCCTTTGGTTTACAAAAACCTACATTCATGGATTAAATATGCAATGATTTTACTCACCTCCGCCATCTCTTCTTCTCTTGCTTCATCTGATTGAGTGGATGCTCATTTGACTACTGCAGGAAACCAAAAGCTGCAGATAACTTCACCACAAATTAATCTGTAGTTGTTTGATAACAGTCAGATTTATCATCAGACTTTGATCACACAGTTCTATAAATGACCTCCATGTCTACTGATGTGGTGAGGTTTAGCCAGCTGTGAGGAAGTAGCAGCAGTCTATTTGATAAATGTAGTTTCTTTGCATGTTCAGATTAATAATAAATCAAATAATTATGATGTAATGGCATAGATGAATATTAAATTTAGATAAGGATTAAAGAAATTAACTCCACCTTTATCAGGTTCGACATTTAAGGGATGAACACATGAATGCACGACTAATGATGGTCCAATTCTGCAATATATATAATATGAAAAGGGTCATTCTGCATGAGTACTTGTGCTTTTGGTACTATTAATTATATTTTGATGCAAATACTTTTGTACTTTTACTCAGTAAAGTTCGTTGGTGAACTTAGATCAAACGGACTGCAAAAACCACACTAAATGCCCGAGTCACTGGTTTCTAAATGAAAACTACGGACGCGATGCTTCTGCTGTTTTGTTCTTTTGATATAATTACTCAGCATCTTGTGGAAAGATCGTAGAAAAGTATGAAAGCATAAAAGTATAGCTATTATAACCTGTAACCCTTTTGATTTCAAAGTATAACCATCACAACATATAGCTTGTTTACACTTTTTATAACCATCATAATGTGAATTGTTTTATTTTATGATAGCTGTGATTTAACATATAAACTGTTTAGAGTTAAACACTGTTTAAAATAGTCACTTGAGCCTTACAGTGCTTCTGGTTCTAGCAGGATCAAACCAGTCACCACCAGTTACATTCTATGTCAGCTCTAGAAAGAGGAGGACTCATGTGTGAGTGACACATGAAATGAAGGAGGTGCCAGCCTTAGATCAGCAGAAAAAGCAGCAGAAAAACTGTAAGATTGGGGCTTCTCCCCACCCTAACTAGAGAATGGGATAGACTTCTTACCCCCTCAGAGATTGCTAAAATAATACCCTTTTAGTTACCCAAAATAAGACCCCTTTTTCTGTCTTACCCACTTAGAGGACAGAAGACCCTTTTGCTATCAGAGGATAGCATAAAAAGGAAAGATAGACCCCCCCATAAAAGTAGGAATGTCAGAGAGCTGACTGAAGAATACCTCATTACAAAATCAGTGAAAGCTGACAAAGAGGAATGCTAGAATTAGTTCTTGTAGCCACTGTAACTGTTTCATTGAATTGAAATTGTTGAATGTGAATCTTGTGTGAAAAATGTAAATAAAACACAGCCTTACATTTAGTAAGTGACTGAAACCAAAACAGTGTTCTGGTCCTTTAAAACAATGTACCCCTCTTCCCCTGTCCGTTAATGGTGCGATAAGATGCGACGACTGAAACATGCAGAGGAGCTTAAGGTGAGTTCTCTGGGTGAAGACTTGGCAGTGTTAGTCATAAATGGTGAGAATGTTCACAATAGGCAATAGTAAAGTATAGACGATGTACATAACTATTACATACAGGGTGTTAGGGTTACATCCCATTGAGAGCACCTAGGGCATTAGCCGTAAAAGACTTTCAAGAAGACAATTAATTCCGAAATCCTAACTATTTAGCTACGGGGTGACATAAAAGGCCGAAGGTATTGTTCTGAGACCTCAAGGAGGAACGCATATCCTCGCAGGTGGGACAGCCGACGGAGTAACCACCGTGTTAGGTGCGAACTACTTCCCCGCCTAGAAACGGGGCAGGAGCCGCTCACGCTACAATCTGTATTCATATCATCACTGCAAGAAAAATAATGAAAGGGTGGTTCATATTAAAGATGGAGTTTTATTGCATATTCAGGTACTGAAACATAAAAATATACTATACAACGTTAAAAATAATTCCAGTAAGAGCAACATCTCATTTTAAACTGGGGACACCACAAAAAGAGGGACACCACAAAAAAGAAAGACGATGTAAAAAATCTGACTCCAAATACATCCCTCTGCTCAAAGTGTGTTATTGTCTTAATCCGAGTAGTTTGAGGAGTTTACACACAAAGTAATTAAAGGTTTAAAACCAGAACTCAGTTTGATTTCAGGCATTTCAGTGTATATAACTCGGGTAAACATTTCTCACGTGGTTCAGATAAAAGGAGTCTGAAGAGGACCCTCATTCAGTCGGCCTTCAGGGCGTAGAGCACGTCGTCCTGGCTGACGTTGAGGCGGACTCGCTGCAGGACTCCCAGGCGGCTCGGCTCCAGCAGCAGTAACCTGCAGGCACCCAGACGCTGACACACCGCCAGGCCCTCCGACACGCTGAGAGGCTGCAGACCCTCCACCCGACACAGAGCCTGGTGCTGCACAAACACCTGGGACACAGACAAACAGAGGGGGGCACATGCATTTAGGTTTCTGTGCTTCAGGAGCAAAATAACGTGAGAAATAACAGGGAGGATGACTTTAGAAGAGTGTTTTATATACAAATTAACGCATTTGTGTGTGCAACGTGTGACGCATGACATGGTTGTGTCTTGCGTCACACACCCAAGTTGCGGCTACTCACGGTCAGAAACACACGAGCAACACACTCTGGTTCAGGGTAGAATACAGGGACAGACTTTACCGTTTGGCAAGGTAGACCATGTGGGGCCCCCAAAACAGCTCTAGATTTAATATGTTAAGTTATGAAAAGTATTGAATAATGATGACTATTCTAACTCACTGTGCCCCGAAATAACGTACAAACTGCCCCCAAAGGCACGTAAAGAATAAGCAACTCAACTGTATACTACTCTGAAGTGTACTTCTACTTCAGAGGAATGCATCGCTGTGCCACATTTACCCGACAGAGAGACTGGTTATATTGCAGATTCAGATTTTACTCACAAAATATATAACAATTAAAATTTGATGATGAACGGACATTAAGTAAACTTAAGCACATCGAGCTGATAATGCCTCTCTTTCACTAGGCACTTAAAGTAAACATTTGAATGCAGGACTTTTACTGCGCGTTACTGCGATGTGTACTATTAGAACTGAAAGCTCGACACTGTTCCCTGCGTGTTGGTTTCTACCTGTTGGAAGGTGGCCTCCTCCAATCCCAGCCGCCGGAACTCAGCGATAACCGCCCGGAGGAAGAGCTGCTCCTGCACCGACGCACACCTGAAGACACATATCGGTCACCTCGTCTCATCACACCTTTACAACTCCACCGTGAATGAGACCAGAATGAGAGGCTCACTTGATGGCAGTGATGTAGGCGGAGGAGAACATCTCATTCAGCGCCTCCATCACGTGACTCATTCCGACCAAACCCGTGGCGGACGGGTCGGCGGCAGAGTGCTCGCAGATCTCCGTCGCCCTGCGGCAGATGTCCAAACATCGGCGAGCGTCGCCCGACAGAGCGGCCACCTGGGAGAGCGGGAGAGGAAGGCTTGTGAGTGAACGGACCCATGAGGAAGTTCGGGTCCGGTGAGAAGGCGTGAGAGACGTCCCGGTCGCTTACCTTCCTGGAGACTAGCTGGAGAGCGTCCTCCTCAAAGGCCTTCACCTTGTTCAGCCGGGACATGATGATCTGCTGCAGCTGCTTGAAGCTGTACGGCTGGAACGACATCCTGGTCAAACCCTGGAAACATTTAGGCAAACATGGTTTTAGCTGTTTTGTACAGATAATTATCTCCACTCCGTCGTCATTTTCCATCACAAACAATGATACGATTTAAAGGGCTGTGTAGGGGCTATTAGTTTGATGTTAGTATTTAGTTATTTTATTCACAAGTAGTATTGTTTAATCATTCTAGATGTTTGCTTTTTTAGGTTAGATTGTTTGATATATTAAGATTGAAGATATATTCTTTTTAATAGTCATTCATTTAGTTGATATATTTTTTGTTGTTGTTTAAGTATACTTAGTTTTGGGTTAGTTAGTTTGTTTATGAATTGGGTAACACTGTGGGCACCTGTGGTTATTTATAGGAGTAGGCAGGTATAGGACCAGCATGCACTGGAGTGGGCCTATGGTTTTTAACCACAGCAGGAGAGGCAGCGACAGGAGTCTTTGTTCTTTTGTTTGTTTTGGTTTGAGAAATAAATAATGAGAAAAAAACGGAATCCTGTATGGACAATGAACACTTGCCTGCGTAAACCACCAAATAAATATGTGACGGCTCCCTTTACCAGTCTGCTGGCCACTCGGTTGATCATGATCCTCTCCGGCAGATCCATGGTGTTCGCGATGGTCAGCACCACCAGGCGGGCGTGACGCCGTGTCGGCCAGTCGAAGAGGTTGTACATGACGTTCTGCTTCCGGGTCCATAACAGGTCCAACTACAGGCCGAAGCACAAAGGGTTAAAGTGGGTTTGTCTGCTGTCACGAGATCGTCTCCCAACTTTACAGCTCCGGAAATATATTGATGATGTCTAGAATAAAAAGGTATAATATGGAGTCACGTTGTTGTAAACACAGCATTTAAAATTCGCCCGTGCTCTCCGGCTCAACGAGCGAGCGGGAGAGAAAGAGCGCGCCGGCGGTCGAGCGAGCGAGAGAGAGAATGACGAGAGGGAAAGTCGTAAGTGAGAACAAAGCCTTATTTTGTGATTGTGTTACAGCGGTTACTTCCTTTTCCCTACTTTGACAGATATAACACATGGTATGATTGACAGTTTCAGCTTTAGTCCGTGAAATGTTTTTGTCAAGTAGTACTACTGACATTTCATCAAACCTTCAGAGGTTCATGCTATAGGTACACTCATCCTCTGAGGAAGTTGCAACAATGTGCAAGACGGATGTGTCTTGCACATGTGTGTCTTGAATGTGCTCAAACAATCTGTGGTTAACCACCGTTAGTTCTTAAACTTGAGTAAGTCTTCTCATACTCTTTTGCAGAACTCCAATTACTCACAACTTGTTAGTTTCAGTGATATTTCTACTTTTTCCTCCGTACCATGAATGTGAAGCTGGCAGCTGTACTTCTTTATGAAGCAGCAAGAAAGTGCTTAAAAGTGTCTCTTGCAGAGCATCTCTGGAGGTCCGGTACCTGAGCTAACGGGTGGAGCCGGTGCCCCGTGTACAGGGGCCCAAGGCCGTTTACTGTGTGTCGTGCACTCTCTCTCTCCACCTGTCCGGACTCTGGTGGCAAATAAAATCCAAACAATTAATGTAAAAAACCCCCAAAAAAAACAAAAAAAAAAAAAAAGGAAAAGGAAACCAATACGGTCCGACTTCCTGTCTGTGCGTCTGTTCCCACACGAGACTTAAATCAGCTTTCAGCAGCATATTAATCCACATTTAGTGCTCTAGTGCAGTCACTCCCAAAGACTGGGTCGGGACCCACAGGTGAGCAGGAGATTGAATTAGGGTCGCGGCAGGACAGTGGGAGGAATTCTGCCTCGCTGGGGTGCTATTCCGCTCACAGATACTGTTACTGTGCGCTCTTATCACGTGAATGCCCCATAAAGATTGCCTGATACGCACGCACGCGTGTTAGGAGATACATTCACTGATGGTTCGAGTCTGATCGTGAAGAAAGATATAGAACTTCCCCAGATTTATCCTTCACTTGTATTTACATTGTTAAACAATCTTTATATTATTCCCGTCAATAAGCAATCGAGCTCTTACTTCATCCACCAGCAGCACGGTAGTCTCCTTCCTGGGTGCAGCGTTGCTGAATCTCTTCTCCAGCAGAGCTGCTGCGTGGTCGGCCGTGGCCTTCTGACCCGTCAGCTTCTGCAGAGACAAGACTGATCATTTAGTGAACGTTGTAATTCAGCTAGAGCAATATTTACTCCTAAAATTAAGAAACAGATTAACATTTTCCTTTTTAGATTGTGAGGAATGACATTTCTAGTTTAGCCTAGCTTAGCACAAAGACTGAAAGCAGGTGGAAACGGCTAGCAGTAGTTAATGTTGGTGGACTCACAAGAGACGGATAAAACAAATTTAAAAAAGAAATCTGTGCAACAGGTTTCCAGATAACTTGACTTTTCGTCCCTAGAATGAGTCACTCTCGTCCTACAGCGCCACCAGGTGAGAGCCACTCTGATGAAGATTGACATCACCAAAGCAGCAGGACCAGACAGGGCATCAGGCCGGACACTAGCAGGGGTGTTTACCAACATCTTTAACCTCTCACCGCAACAGTCTGTGGTCCCCACATGCCTCAAATCCACTACCATCACCCCGTGCCCAAAAAACAAGAGGTCTCAATGACTGGACAGCCACCAGTTTGCCTACCGGGGAAACAGATCTACAGCGGATGCTGTCTCAATAGCACTTCACACATCCCTGTCCCATCTGGAGCATTCAAACACTCACACCAGGATGCTATTTGTTGATTTCAGCGCTTTCAACACAATAGTCCCCCATAAACTGGTACACAAACTCAACAACCTTGGATTATCCACTACACTCTGCTCATGGATTATGGACTTCCTCACAAACCGTCAGAATGGGCAACCGCACATCCTCCACCCTCATCCTGAACACAGGAGCTCCGCAGGGCTGTGTGCTCAGTCCGGCCCATTTCACCCTTTACACCCATGACTGCACACACATCCACTCCTCTAACACTCTGGTGAAGTTCGCTGATGACACCACTATAGTCAGACTGATATCAAACAACGAGGAGGCACACTACAGAGAGGAGGTACAACACCAGGTTACTGGCAATAACCTGGTCCTTAACACGACAAAAACCAAAGAGATAATCGTGGATTTCAGGAGAACCAGGAAGACCACACCTCCCCCTCTCCACATAAACGGTGAGGAGGTGGAGAGTGTAAGTGACATCAAAATCCTGGGAATCCACATCACAAAGGATCTGACATGGGCCCTGAACACCTCCCACCTGGTGAAGAAAGCCCAACAGAGGCTCTTCTTCTTGAGGAAACTCAAAAAAGCCAAACTCCCCTCTCAGCTCCGAGTCAACTTCTACAGGAGCACCGTAGAGACAATTCTCTGCCACTGCGCCGCCGTGTGGTACACCAGCTGCACTGCAGAGAACCGGAGAGACCTGGCCCGAGTAGTTAAAACAGCGCAGAGGATCGTAGGAACCAAGCCCCCGACTCTGGACACGGTCTACACAAGAAGGATAGCAACATCAGCAAGGACCCGACTCACCCAGGTCACAGTCTGTTTGTCCCCCTGCCATCGGGGAGAAGGTACAGAACTATACAAACAGACTGAGGAACAGCTCCTTCCCCAGAGCTGTAGCCTCCATCACCCCACCCCCCCCACCCCCGGACAACAAACGTGAGCAGCAGCTAAGCATGTTGACGGTTTAAATATCCTCCATCATATGCATCCTTATGTCTCTCGTGTGAAGTTCACTGCTCTCACCTGCAGGATCTGGACGTAGGCCTGATGAGGATCCGTCATCTTCATCCCGTTGATCTCGATGAAGTGGAAAGGAGAGATCTCGTCCACGTCGGCCGCGTGCTGCAGACAGCGCATCACCTCCTGGACTGTGGCCGTCTTCCCTGTGCCCGGCACACCTGAGATGTACATACACCTGAGACACAAACAACATCACAACAAACACAAGAAAGACGGCCTGAGTTTATGTCATTAAATCAATCTGTGCATTTGTTTAAAACTAGCATCCTGAATGGGATTTCACTGTGACAAAGGAGGGTTATGATGATGAGACATCTGAAGAGAGAAGATGTTGACATTACTGGGTTTATAACATTTCTTTTAGGTTTTGGAAATTAATAAAATATTAGCTTCTAGTTCAAATGGTGGTAAACCTGGTGGTCAGCAATTAATTGATTTGTTTATCGGCAGAAAAAAACCTAAAGAAGAGCTGTGACTACCGACTGACTCTTAAGGTGCTTACAGGCAACCATGCCATTAATATAATAACAAATAATAATCTAATAACTGCTGCTATTGGAAGAAAAAGCTCCACATTACTGGATGTAATTAGTGGCAGAAATTAAATGATGGCAAAACCAACAATAATTGAACTTTCATTTATTGGAGGATAAAGTACAAGCCTGTGACACATGGCTAAATACTCGATAGTTTTACCTCGAGTACTTTAACAAACTAATAACAGAAAACAATTAGAGAAGGGAACAAACTGTTCACAGATCAGGGTCTCACAAACTGCCTCCCGGGGTCAGACTCTGTAATGTTTGTAGGTTTTCCATGTCGGTGCCAATACGATTCTACTAATACCAAAAGAAAAACCAGAACCGGGATCTGGGTCTTACCCCCCCGTGCCGTCTACGATCTTGCTCTCCACGAAGCTGTAGATGTCCTGAAACTCCTGCTCTCTGCAGGGCAGCGACTCTGGCACCGAGGACACGTGCAGCCTGCAGCCCAGACGTGCAGAGTTAATACATACACTACTGTTGAAAGCTTGGAATCAGCCGGTATGTTGTGTTTATTTTTCTTCTTTCCTTCAATGATGGCTGGTTAACAGAGAGAACTTTTGCGGCAAGAGATTACAAATTTTGAACAAGAGTGTTTATAGATGAGGGTCAGAGGTCACCGATTGTTGCGTCTCACCTCGTCCTGGCCTCCTCCAGAACATTAGCAGGCTGTCGGGCCGGCAGCGACCTGCTGGGGATGCTGGGAATGGCGCGATGAGGAGTCCGTGGCGTGCCGGGTGTGATCTGTCGAAACATGAAACAGTTAAAAGGTGAGAAAAGAAACGACGACCCAATTCGGTCTGTTTTCAGGACTTCTACCTTCTTGTTTGGAGTTTTTCGCGGCGTTGTGGTTGAGGAGCGAGTTCTCTGCTTTGACCGAGGAGTACGAGACCCTGCCGCAGCATATCTGCCCTTTTTAAACACTACCTCTTCATCACTGTCGAGCCCTGCCTCCTCCTCCCCATCATCATCACTGCTGCTCTGAAGCTCCTTCTTTGACGGAACAAACTCCTCCTCGTCCTCTCCATCTGAGTTCAGGTCCTGCAGGTTGTCCAGAAGGTTCCTGATCACACAGAAAGTGAAGCGTCAGTACTCTGAAGCCTCCCACAAGAACTTATGAATGGATCGGCCGGTGGACTGAAAGACCGACGACCCCCTCTCTCTGCACTCACAGCTGTTTTCTGATGCGAGACGACACCAGCTGGGCCGACTTCCTCTTCGAGCTCCTCGGTGTGAAGGTGACCGGCAGCATCGGAGAGTTTTCATTATCCACCTCAGCCCTGTCCACATCAACAGCAGAAGATCCGTCACATTATGATGTCAGAGGGAGATATAATATTCTAACTGATGCAAAATGAGCTACGCTTGCAGAGGGTTTTAGACAATTAAGACATTCAGATAATATTGTGGCTTGTTAGCATCTGGTACAGCCAGGTAACAGGACTCTTCTGATTATGTGGGTCCCCCCCTCGGACAAAATTGTCAGTATGTCTGCTAGTTTTCCACACCAGACAAATATCTGTGTATGAATCATAAGAGTGTGTCTGTTTTCCAGAGACACAAGAAACGTATGGTTACAATAACATGTGTACACTGCACATATTCTATATACTTCATACTGTGAACTTTAACACATTCCTGCTTTTTTATTTTAGAAAACACATGCTGTACATATTTTTATACTACATTGTCCTTTTCTTATTGTCATCTGTTACATTTCATGTATGTTTATTGACTGTAGCAGTACACGCTTTTTATTTTTTTCTAATGCACCAAGATGGTATTACACCTGGTTCTGATGTGATGTTCTGACTTTGTGCTTTAGGGGAACAGAGAGAATAATGTTGCAATAGAGTCAGTGAATTATCTGTGGGCTATAACTTGAGCCCCATTTTTTTTTAGCCCTCTGTACATTTCTCCAAATAATCATTATCAAAAGTATCCAGAAATAGCTATTGGCAGCTCCTGTTTGCAGTGTAACATGCATGAACAGAAAACTACCACTGGGTTACTTTGTTACTGGAGAAAACTTAAAAAACATGAAGATTCTCAGGCAAGTTCTGCAGTTATAAGGAGTGGATTTATGGACATGAAGAAGTAATGAAAGAATGAACAGAACATAAATAATGATCTCCTCAGAAAGCGGAAAATATGTTTATCATGTCTCTGTGTTGAGGTTTGACTGAGAAGAAGTTGTTGTGTTTAGAAACACAAGACACGCGTCTACTCACAGGACTCCCAGGAATGGTTCCTTCAGGGTTTCCGGTTCTTTCTTTCGAGAAGGAGTGGTAGCTCTGTTTGAACACACATTGGATTTTTGGGGTTACATCAATGTATTGAATTCGAGAAAAGCAAACCCGTTAATGATTAAGTGACTTGTGAATGTTCACACTGAAACCACTTCACCCGGCTGTGCAGACTCAAACCTCAAAGAACATAAAGACTAGAAATAAATAAATAAAATCACCACATGCATGTGTGAGCTACAGGTGCGAGGATCGTCTTCTCTGACACACCCCTGTGTTGTACTCCGGGACTCATGAACATTAGATCATTACAGTTATTACAACCACCAGGTCTGCAGCGTCTGACTCACTTCTGTTCCCTGGTGGCATACTGTCTCCTCGGCGTGGCATTTCTTCTTCTGGGTGTCTTACCCGAGCCAGTCGGTAACCCTGCCTCCATCACATCATCACCCTGCTGAGGACTTTCATCCAACAGAAGAGGCACCAGTGAGTCAACAGGTCATCTCTGGTTGAAACCAGTTTAAAACCTGCGGTGAGGCTGCAGATTGCAGCGAACTGAATACCCCTCTGCTCACCCCTCCTTTGCCAAGCATGATGAACAACTACAGTGACAATAAGGTAACGAAAGGCTCACGATAGAGCCGAAGTTTGGTTGTCTGTTTGTCTAAACTACTGTAGAAACAAGGCGGTGCAATATGGCAGGCACGTGAAGAGGACCAGCTCCCTATGAAGGTATGAACAGCTCATTCTAAGATAATTCTTAGTTTCAGGTCATTTTACACCAATGAAAACATTTCTGCTAATAAATCCCCCTAAATCCTAAACACTGTTCCTTTAAGTATCAATAAATAAATGCAGAAATAATTAAATTAAATAATTAAAAATACTGAAATATATTAATTTATTTATGTACATTTTAATTTGTTTATGTATTTATTTATGTCAGTGTGGTAAGGTAGGATGTCTAACCTCAGTCTATGCGTGTATATATTTAACTATTCATTTATTCATTAATTTATGTATTTATTTAAGCATGCGTTTATTGATTTATTATTTATTCACTTATTTCAAATTGCATTAATTAATTATTTTATTATTATTTCTGCTGTTATTAGTGCTACGACAGCTATTACTACTCTCAAACTGTTACTATGTTGTTCATTCTGCACACGACATCTATTGCACTTCTGTCCGTCCTGGGAGAGGGATCTCTCCCTGTTGCTCTTCCTGAGGTTTCTTCCCCCATTAAAGGGACTTTTTGGGGGAGTTTTTCTATATCCAATGAGCGGGGCCAAGGACAGAGGATGCCGTATGTTGTATAGATTGTAACGTTCTCTGAGGCAATTTTGAGATTATTTAAATTGGGCTATATAAATAAAATTTTATTGAATCATTTATGATTCATTTATTCAAGCTTAAGTAATTGAATGTCCTCCATACAAGGTTATTCTATTGTCACTGTACAACTGGGTTGCACAACAAAATGCAGATTGTAATCCCAGTTTGCTGCACAAGAAAAACACAAAAACGTTTTTTGCACAATGTGCAAAGGTTTACATCATGGAGATCGAGTTGCTACAATGTGCACAAAAACGTAGCGTTGATAACAGCTGCAACATTAGCCATCTGTACCTGCTGGGTAGCTAACGCTAGCTAACAGCAGTCTGCGGATATCAGGCTGATGATTTATTGATGACCAAGTGATTATTAAACTGTGTCTACGCTCACTTAGTTGAAGCATCTGGTACAGACGGTCTATAGCTGTGTGTATTGTAGGGCTTTATGGAATATTCTTTTTAATATTCAAAGCTTTGATCAAGGTTTACAAATGAATGCTTTGAATGTCTGTCGTCATATTTAATGTAGCGCACTAACAGATGGGGAAAATAAAATGTGTTGTTGTGGTTGTATAAATGTAAGTCATGATTCCGTTAGATTGCCGGTAGACTTCGCCGTTAACACCGGTGCGTGCCTCGATGGGGCAAGCGAGCAAAACTAAAATGTTGTTGAAAGGCAACAAATATGGATCGAAGCAGAATATTTTGTTAGATTTGAGTAAAACTGAAAAATCCCAACATGTTGTGAATCTATCTTTTCTCAATAAATTTAAACGTTTAATAAAAAATAAATGTAGACGTTTGGACTGGAAGTTTGGCTATTACACACAATGTTCCTGTAAGTTATTAATAATACTAATAATTTGAATGTCAACATAAGGAATGAAGTTCTGAAGCTTCTAACTATTCGTACAGACCCGATGTGTTTACAGTACATGTATTTTCGGAGAACGTAGAACAATGACAGCCTTACAGGTGGTGCAGGCCTTTCATTTATTCTCGCTAAATTGTTTGGATATAAAGTCTACAGCCATGCTCGCTGCTGCGCTGCTATACTTCAGCTTCACTTAAAAAGACTGCCGTTGTCCTCACTGGAGGCTACAAATATGACGTTTGAATCATGCTGAAATCTTGAAGGAGAAAAAAAGAAGAGATTTTGTTTTTTGGCGAAATCTCCCAGCTGTAGCAAAAACACAACGATATTCCCTGATGGGAGCTTGGCTGTGTGTCTTCCTGCTGACTGTGAAAGGATGCGGACACTGTGGCTGTGTGGGAGAGTTGACTCTCACCTGGCAGACGATGGAGGACTGTTCCTCTCGGAGAGAGACACCCTGTGGAGGACGAGGGTGGAGGGCTTCAGGGGGAAAGTGTCGGGGGCTGTGTGGGGCTTCTTGAGGGGGCTGAGGCTGTGGGTGAGGGACAGGTCCTGAGGGGGAGAGGCCGACAGTCTTCCGACAGCCCACATCACCTCCGACTCCAGCTCCTCATCCAGCAGCTGGCTCAGGATGTCCTCACTGATCATCGACTTCTTCTCAGGATCTGACGGGACGAGGAGGGAAAACATGGCCGGAAGTCAAGTATGCAAACAATATACAGTATATTATTTTGCTTTACAAAGATTGGATAAATATAATATTTTTGTATTGCAATTTCTTGTTGCCAGTTGGCAGATATATCTGCCAGTACAGTATCTGGAATTAACTCAAATCTACCACTTCTACACCAGAAAAGACTGTACTGCTTTAAAAACACTCACTGCTGAGTTCCAGTTTCTTGCGGACGCCGGGCGTCCTGACCGAGGCGTTCCTCCTCTTGGCGCTCAGACATTTTGAGGCAGACATTTTGGTGCCAGAGTGCAGCGACTCTACTTCCGCGCTCATGGTGGCCCGGCAGTATCTCACTTCCCCCTGTGCGGCCCGGCGCATGACGGTGAGGTCCGGAGTCGGTAGGGCGCGTCGGGCGGGGCCTCGAGACGCTGGAGCCGCTGCAGGCGGGGAGCAGGGGGGTGAGGGGGGGAGGGAGGCTTTGGGACAGGGAGGAGTGGAGGAAGCTGGAGCGAGTTCAGACTCCACCAGAGCAGAGTCCAGCATTTTGAAGGTCTTGGAGTCCCAGGACAGCTTCACGTACAGGGTGTCCCTATCGCCAGAGTCCGGGAACGGAGCTTCTCCAATCAGGTGCTTCACCTTTGAGTGAAAGGACAAAGACTTAAAAGGGACAGTTCACCGTAATCCCACAGAACATTTTCCCTCTCACCTCTAGTTGTATGTCCCTGCAGACAGTTTATGCTATCAGATATCTGCATCAGTACTGGTGAATAAAATTAGGAAAAAATGTAATTAAATAGAGCAAATAGTGTAGGGCTAAACATTTGGCCACATGCAAAGAGCAACGCGTACCCACAGTTCTCCACTGATTCAGCATTGCAACAATGTCAAACTCATGATGTGCAGTTAGAAATGACGATGTCGCCGATTCTACTGCATTCATTTTGACTTTCTTTTTATTACCCTTTGCCACAGCTGACGTACACCAGACAAAAACAACTGCATCTTATTGAGAACGCTAAGAGCCACTGCTCAAAAACCCAAAACAAATTATCATAAAGACACTATTATATGCAGGACCGAGCCCACGGAAGCTCAGGAAAACCCCCCCTCAACCAACACGATTGCATCGTACTGTAAGGCGAAATAGATTCTGGGCAGAGTTAGAGAGAGTTCATTTGTGTTTATTTTATCTTGTTTGTGTGCTTAAAGTACTGTTCATTTTTATAACGTGGTGTATGCTTTATGATCACTAACACTGGTGATCCCTGAAATTGCTAGTGTTGTGTAGAAGTTAGCATGTATTCCATGCTACCGTGATTCATGTTGAGACAGCCGCAGTGAGGTCGAAGTTGCTTCTCATCAGTTCAGGAGGTCAGAACCGCCGGCTGAGACAAAGAGTCGCGGTTCTTGCTCCCCTGGCTGAGAGAGCAATCTTCCGTACTCCCGCGCGGCGCGAAGGATCTTAATCTTTTGTTTTATTTCATTTTGTTCCTTTCCCTTCTCTTTTACTAATCCACACACACATATAGCTTTGAGCTAATGTAGCTACGTGCTAAACGGCTACCGGCACGTATAGACGCCAGGTCTCCTGTTGGCTATCCGCCATTTTGAGTCCGTATCATTAGTGTTAGAAGGTAATAAACTCTGTTATATTTTAAAGAGCAGCTGTCTGTGATTACTTTGTGCACGTGTATTGTGATAATAGCTGTATATGTGGTCTGTGCTCGAACTTAAACCTTCACTTTCCCTCTGAATGTGTCATAGTACTCAGACTGTTGACATTGTGAGTGAACACTAATTATGAGACTTAGTTTTTAGTTTGGTTATTGGTCCCTGTTCGCAGGGTGGTGCCCCGTTATTATTAATAATCATTAATAATCATTAATAATTGTTACTGACATTAATAATTCTGTTGATGTCAAGAATTTAGTTTCTTAGATGCTGATAACCCAAACACGCTCCTTTACGTTACCAACACATGCTGATAACCCCTTTTTGAGGCTATGTTATTCCCAACAGGGGTGAGAGAAGGAAATAGGATAACTGCATTTTTAAGGATAAGTTCGCCCAATGACAAAAACATGACTTAATAAGAGTGACCGGAGTATTTGCATGTTATTCAGGGGTCACTGAATGTCACCTGCACAGGCTCGAGGATGGACCCGGCGTCGACCTCGTCGTCACAGCTGCGACCCTGGTAGTAGAAGATCTCCTGCGGGTGAGGCTCTCTGCCCAGCAGCTTCAGTTTGCTCACAGGCACTTCAGACACACGAACAAACCACTGAACCACCGCCTTCTTCTGCTTCCCGCTCTCTGAAA